GAGGTCAAGAAGGTGCAGGAGTTTAAGTATTTGGGGTCAACAGTCCAGTGTGATGGGGAGTGTAGGAAAGAGGTGAAGAGGCGAGTGCAGGCAGGTTGGAGTGGGTGGAGAAAGGTGTCAGGAGTGTTGTGTGACAGAAGAGTGTCAGCAAGAATCAAAGGAAAGGTGTACAAGACAGTAGTGAGACCAGCTATGCTGTATGGGTTAGAGACTGTAGCAGTGAGGAAAAGACAAGAGGCAGAGATGGAGGTAGCAGAGATGAGTTCTTCCTGAGGGCACTGAAGAAGAACCACCTGTCTTCAGCCATCCTGGTGAACTTCTACCACTGCTCCATCAAGAGTATTCTGACCAGCTGTATCACAGTCTGGTATGGAAACTGCTATGTCTCGGACCGCAAGGTGCTGCAGCGGGTGGTGAAAACTGCCCAACACATCACAGGGACTCCACTTCCAGCCATTGAGGGGGTCCACAGGGAACACTGTCTCTGACGTGTTCGCAGCATTCTCAACGACTCCTCTCACCCTGCTCACAAACTGTTTGGCCTCCTGCCCTCTGGGCCTCCAGACAAAGACCAGTAGACTCAGGAACAGCTTCTCATTTCTCCTCCCGGGACTAATGCAATGCACTTCTGTTACCTGTAACACTGAAGTGATTTGTTAATTTACACATACTCTACTCACAGAATACTGCTCTGTTATTCATTTACTCACTGTACATATGCAGATACTGTATATTAATCTTTGTACTATTTACACCCATTGAACTGTTCACTCGTGTCCATTCCATTCCATTTCATCCCATTGCACTAGTGTTTTATAAGCTTAATGTACTTGATCCATTATTTGTAATTTAAATCTATAAAGTCTGTTGTATATTGTATATTATCTTATATAACTTACTGTAAATATCAATTGTACATATCTATCGGTAAATTAGTACTGACTGTTCACACTGTAGATACTGCACACTACTGCACTTCTGGTTAGATGCTAAACTGTGTTTCATTGCCTTGTACTTGTACATGTGTAATGACAATAAAGATGAATCTAATCTAATCCACCGGTGCCATTGTAAAAGTGGAATTTTTTGACTGCACCTGGTTTTGTGGACCAGAGGATGTGGAGAAAAATACAGGGCCTGAGGTTACTGTGTGTCCGGGAATGTTCCTGTACAGGGACTCACTGTTTTACCTGACCAGGTCTAACCTACAAGCAGCTGACCAGTGAAGCCCCCACAGCAGCGAATGATCAACTCATCAACACTGGATTCCCCCGGAGCACAGTACCTGTTTGTTTTGACTGCTTGAGGCCAATGTGTCTGCTGCATGTGAAAATGGTTGTTGTAAGTGGAGACAGCTGATGTATGGACATCATGGTCAGGTATGGTGTTGGCCACTTCTTCCTACTCATGGGGAATCTTGACATCAGTGTGGACAGCCAACTTATGGGCATCATGTGCAGGTGTGAAGTTGGCAGCTTCATCTCACTCATGGACAGACTTAACACTGGAGGGGACAGTAGGCCTTCTGTCAGTTGTGACCAGACAGGGTAACCCTCATGCATCAATGAGCCTTGGACCCCCAACACCTTGTCTCTGGTCTGTGGTTTGTCCCTCCTTGGACCACTGTCACTAGGTACTCACCACAGGAGCTTCTAATAAGTCTTGCCATTTTGAAGAAGCTCCAGTTCAGGTGCCTGGCCATAATGATATGGCCTTTGTCAAAGTTGCCCAGGTCTTTACACCTGCCCATTTCTTTTGCAATCCTCATGCTGACTACAAGAACTGACTGTTCACTTAATTTCTACACTATCTGAGACCTGACATGTGCAGTTATGTGATAACCAACATTCCCTTTATCTGTAAGTGGTCATAAAGTTTTGGCTCACTGGCATATGCTCTTGTTATTGCAGTTGTGTCTGCACCATCATTGTTCTCAATATGCATGTGTTACTTAGGTGGGGCTGGCTTACTTGTTAATAGACATAGTTCACTAACTAAACTAAGCTAACTGCCCGTTGGCTAGTTTCACACTGTGTTTGGCATATACCGTGAAAGTTGTATCAGTCTTTTCATATAGCTGTCTACAAGAAAGCAATTAAGCATGTTTCAAAAAAATCCCATCAAAAATATCTGCTGACAAACAAACAGGACTTCTAGGCACAGTAGAACATAATCTACATTGTGCACTGAACTGTGTACTGAACTCTTGTAGCCTTATCCAGATGTTACAGCATTAGCATTTAGGGAAGTAATGTACTTTATCAGTTGAATTTTATTTGTAATGGATATAGATGTGTACTCATTAATGTAGTAGATCAGGCTCATAGTTTCACATAACATGGTAAAATTATTTAGTGGTGGGCAAACAACGTCAGTAGGAATATTGTTTAGAATTACCTATGAACATTGTCTTCAACACGATGTCATTCTTTTCCTCTCCTCCAGGTGTCTCCACCTCTCAGACCCAGCAGGCCCACACCTCTCAGGTACTCCAGCCCGAAGAAGCTCTCTACCTCCATAAAAAAAGGAAACGGCCCATCCTTCATGACCCATATACTCGCTTTTCTGCTCTGCTGCACCGCCGCCCACAACGGGAGGACCAGAAGGCTATTTTGGCTAGCATGGACAACATAGACCTAGACCATGCCACTCTCCTCTGAAAGTTTTGAGGCAAAGGTCACAACCATGCAATATGGCACCATTCCAAAATACCAATAGCTAACAAATGCTACATCCAAGCTGGATAAAACAACACCATCAATTAAAGATTTTTGCAGTTTATTATGTATAAAGGGGAATAGCACTGAATTTCAGGATTCAGATTTGGTATATTCGGTAGTTACACCCTTGGTCAGTTCAGTCTGCATTAATAAGCATTCTGCAGTGTTCATGAGCTAATCTGTGGTGGCTCCAAATGTACTTGGAACAATCACAAATTAGATCAAGAACCCATAAGATTTCTGTTTTAGGACCAAATGTAATTTTTCGGTAGAAAGATTTATGATTGTGAGTAAAATGCTGGTTTCAACTTATAGTCAATGAAACAGCAGCATTGGAAAATTGGACATCACATCACAGATTGGAGTCTTGGTTTTAAGTTTTTTTCTTGGAAAATGTTTGTGTTATTTAACTGATTGAGAATCCCAGTGGCACACAAAAGTTCTGTGTATACCTAAATCAACTAGTATTCCCTTTTAAAATTGTATTTGGACTTCTTACAATTTTTACTCCAGTGCAAAGGATTAATTTTAAAAGATGCAATACTTCATTACCAATTCCAATTTTTTTCCTTTTTAGAATTCCCATTTTTTCCTACACCAGTGATATCATTTTTATTTGAAAGGCTTCTCCAGACTTGGGTCATGTTTTTTGTGCTGAGCAAGTTCCTCAAAAAAGCCCTGTGGATCTCCGTTTACAGCACCTTCCACTGGATCCTCTCTGCCAGCAACATCTCTGCTAAGAAACTCGCCTCACAAGTATGGCTATTCTAACTTCCTACCAACTATACCTCAGAGCACAGGACACGAGACCACACAACCACCAGGATCAGCCAGCATAACAAACTAGCCTTTTTCCTCCCTTTAGTCATTACTGTTCTCCATTTGCTTTTCTTATAATAGCATGTTCCACTTTTCCATTCATATATGTGCTTATTCTAGATTGTTAGACAAGTTAATTTAGTTTATTTTCTTGCAAAATTATAATTTTGTCACAAAAGTGAAGAAACCCATCTTTTCAAGTCTATTTAGTGTCATCATAAATGATCAGGACATGGGCTTGTTGTTTAAGGACTGTCAGACAAAAAGAAACACAGCTCTAAACTACTTGACTTGGGCTACAGAAGGTATTCTACTTACTTTCACGTGATATCATTTCTTATGGGATAGATGACATTTAGCATTGAATCGCAAATGTTTTCACCAGGGGCTTACATTTGTATTTCACACATACCATTACAAAACATTAACAGATACAGTGAAAAGTGATCATTTAATTACAAAATATTTTTATATTGTCAATTGAATTACATTACTGAGAAACATGGGGGAAAACATTAGATTCAATATAACACCATTTAATTACTCAAATTAATTCCTCTTAAGCTCTATTTTTAGTGTCTCATATCTCTGAACAGTTTGCACTGGAGCAAAGTCATGTCCATTCAATAGATCTGTGTGTTACTTCACATCCCTTTGTTCAGTTCTTCTGCTTTAGGTAGTTTAGAGGGCTCCAAATCCTATTCAAACAGAACTATAGCCAAGCCAAAACAAGCCAATTAAATATAAAAAACAAATCATACATAGTGAAAGATAGGATTTTGTGCCATAGTATATAATAGTATTTTTTATACGTATTAGAGAGTATAAAAACAATGGCTTTGTTTGGCCTTAATGGAGCATCTGTTTGGTTGTCTGCCTCACTTTTGTGTAATTTATTTCTCTTTATACTGTTCTTTTTTTGTTTGTGTGCCTCTTTTTGCCATTAGCCTTTTGGATTTTGACTCTTTATGTGCTTATCATTTAAAATGGGAAGACAAGAGTACAGTCAACTAAAAAAATCAGTATGTGACATTGAAGGCAACACAAGATGAGCCATTAGTTTTTACTGTACTCTGCTTGTTAAGCAGTTCTGTTTACTTCTTGCTTAGTTTTATTTTTGAACGATTCCAGTGATTGAGATGATTGAATCTGCCTGTCTAAGTCATAAACAAATATGGATACTAAGGTCCTAAAAACAAAATTTTAAGAGTTAAAGAAGTGCCATAGCATCAGAAACTCAGCTGTTTCACACATAGTACATGCTGTAGCTAGGATCAGCAGGGGAGGAACATGTGTTGTAAAAGCTCAAACTTTTGTTACCATTTTTTGTTTGTTTTTCTCAGTTTTGCTCATAAGGTGCTCAGTTTTTTCAGAGAGTGTATTCACTCGTAGATGTTGCAGTAACATATCCTGGGCTTCTAAAAAAGATATGAAGGCTGTGTCCATGTTCTGCTGAAGTGTATTTGGACTGGTATTGCTCAACTATGTTCAGAGGTTTTTATGCATTTATCTGATTTTGTGCAGATTCTCACATAGCTGCAACTCCAACATAGTCTTCGAAAATCAGCCACATTTTAAGTGACTAAATTTTTTTGTTTTATGGAGATATATCCATAATGAATGCTCATCAGAGTATCTACTAAATTAGTCCCCTGAGAGCCCCTATTATACATAATTAAAAACAAATTGTTCTCAAACATGACCATATCCAGCATACAGGTAAATAAAAAAATAAATGCATCATACAGATGCGTTATGGTTGCTTTAGTAGTTAAAAAAGCAACTATTTTAGTAATGAAGCTAGTGCCTTTACTTTTGATGGCGTTATTATGTCTCCAACGTTGGAGCATTTGTCAGCTAACAGTTAAGTATTGAGTCTGTGTCGATATAATGCACTTATTGTGGAAATAACGTTGAAATACAGTTTATTTAATATAGCATTAACACTTATAACTAAAGTGAAACCACAATATCTGATTCCAAGGATAACAAAGTCAGCATGAATAGTTTCAGTGAGAATAAAGTGTCTTGAAAATACACGTAGCTCACGTAGATCATTGATAATAATTGACAAATCTGCTACTCAGTCAGCTGCAGCATTTTAGGAATAAGAGCTACTGCCCATCTCTGTGAATGCTGTGGTGTTTGAAGGACTGTACACACAATCACTTAGCTTGCCTAGATAAAGAGAATGGCAACAAGGATGTGACACCAACATTATTCAAACATTCTAAGGTACTATCTAATTGATTGATTGATTTACTGAACTGACTGAAACGTATCACTGTAGAAGCCATAGATGCTTTAGTGGTGGTGTCAAACAGTGACTCTTCTTGCAGCATAAGGTGCTAAGCAAACAATGGCATAATGCTATACTAATGAGTGAGCCTTCCATAAATTATTACACTTCCATTTTCACAAATGTGTAAGTGCTGTATTGTATTTTTATAAAGCAACAAGGAAAGGCTGCACTGCTCCCAATTTAATCTGTGGTTAGGAGGCACAGAAAAGGAAGCAGGAACCTCTTCTTCTGTAAAATTATTCTGGCATACCAACAGCAATAATTAAAAAAACTGCAGGCACTCTGATGCATAATGTTCTACTAGTCAAATGTATTATTGTGCATTGTTGCTGTTGAGTATCACAGTTTTTATGCCATCTTGACAAAGGTGTTTCCACAAGCTATAGGAAGAAGAGTGCTGTAGTTTCCTTTCAGAAGGCATATTGGTTTTTAATGTTTCACTGCAGACCTCCTGGTGTTGGTGTTGCTGTGGGTCTTCTGTGCAGCGCTCCGGACAGAAATAACTAGGTGAATGTTGGATTAGTCTTGTTGAAAGACTTTGGCACTGTACTTCCTAGGCCTGTATGATAGACTGGACAGTCACTGCATATACAACTGTGTAGGAAATGACAAGATTCACACTAAAGGGACAGTGGGATTGCTATCAATGAGCAAATGATTTTCCAGTTATGACATTTACGCTGCTAAGAAAACATTCCTTGATACTGCAGAGCAATTTGATCAAATTCATTCAAAAAAATCACTATTCCCTACCAATTATATTAGGGTTTGGAAGCGAATCAATATTAGATCAGTAGAACAGGCAATGTTAAAAATTCCTGGAACTTACAGTAATTTAAAAGTTTTAAATCAAGAATTTAAAACTAAATTATTTGCTCTGTATTAACAGCGATAACCTCTAATGGCCATACTATTCCAATATACTGTCACAGTAGTACAGACACATAATGTTTTTGTTAATTCTTCAATTAATTACGTATATTGAAAATTATATAGACTGTATCTGCAAAATTGTAACTGATGCACTGTCCCAATTTAACACTGAGCCTAGTGTTCCATGTTGTAATTATGCCACATTTACAAGAAACTAGAACTGACAGATGTGGGAAGATACCTGAGCTAAATCACTGAAATATATATTAGGAAAGGTCAGTGGTATTACTTTGTTTTTATATGTTTAGGTTGAATGTTGACGGACAGAATACCATGAAAACTTCAGTACAGCAGTTTAAAGAATACCCTGAAAATTCAACGTCACGAGAGCTCTTCAAACCAGAGGTGGTGGGAAACTGTAGCTTTGTGTGGCTCTACAATTATGTCATCACAAGTGAAATGAGAGCAGTGCAAGATGTAGGATGAGGCATTTATCTTAACACAGCTGAGGGTGAAGTCAGCTCTGAAGTGCTCTATACCTCTTATTGTGCCACAGAAAAATGTGACCATGTACATAGTGTATAGAGATCGATATTATTTGCATGGTATATCTGTTTGAATACCACTGTCATAAATGAGGAATTGCCACTACCAGAGCAGACATTCGGTGGCTTATACGGTCAAGAAAAGTGTGACAGTAGTGATATGTTTAGTAACAAATTGTGAATCGCAAGCCAATGAAAAAGTTGTACTTATCTGAAAGGTCCAAGTGCAGAGGTGCACTTTAGGAAAAGAAAAACGGAACAACCAGTGAAACCACTCATTGTACTTGAAGAAGTGATATTATTGTGAATAAGTAGCTCTGCTGTACACTAGTGGGGTTTTTCCATTATAGGAACCTACCAAAACGTGTTGAACCGTGTAACGCTTGTCACAGGTTCTGCGTTTGTCTCCACGGCTGTGCACCTGCTTTGGAGGTGCACTCTGCCAGTTAAATTTCAGCATCCCTCAGGAGGTAGGGGGTGGGGGTGCATGTGCACAGAGAAGTCGCCAGTGATTGGTTAAATGCTACAAGCATGTTTGTAAAGAGGCACTTATACTGGTTTAGAGGTAAAACAGGGACTTCAGTGAGTGGACTGCCTGCAAAGTGGTGAAGACCTCACCTTTCATCAGCTGTGTTGTACTGTGGAGTGCTGTCTGTTCTCCCTCTGCTCAGCTGACTGTGTATGTGAGTGGGGAGCAGCCCCTCCCTCTTCGAAACAGAGAGAGATACAGAGAAAATACAATGGAAAAACAAAGCAGGATGTCCGTGTCAATCCAGGAGGTTATGCGGGGTGAACTAGGGTGTATACCGCTCATCAAGTGGTGATAGTGGAAATGCAGCATTATTTTGAATAATAATGAAACCAAATTTTAATTCCAAGACTTATAGGTTCACATAGTTAAATAAGTCTACATTAAAGGTAGTTTTGCTACAGTAGCACCAATATGCAATAAAATCACATACAGTTAGATAAGTTCACTGGGTTTTAAATTCAAGACAACACCCAGAGTTGTCACTACATGATATTTTTATTAGATGTGCTCTTTACTACTTCTGTGGTGTCTTCAACTGATATTTTTATAGTACATTAGGTGGACATTACCTCACAAATGGTAGTCTGGAATAAAAAGAAACAAGTCAGTTTTAATGATCAGATTGCAGTCTGACTTGTGTTAAGTACAATACATAGATGTTCTGTAAGGCTAGAAAATAAATGATTCTTTGTGATGTTCCCTAGCTCAGAATTACCATGAATTACAGACCACAGTGAGGGTCATGCTGCATATGATTCACATATATCCTGTAACTTTGTTGTATGAGGCCCCAGTAGTACTACACACTTTAAGATACAATAACAGTGATGGTTTACAGGCAATGGTTCTGTACAGGTGTCTAAAATAGCTTAGAATTAGTTATGTTTGTGGTGTCTGAAAAAAGGAAATTTTTCACTCATTTAAAGAGAGTTTGTAAAGAAAATCTCAGTACTGTATCACTCTTGACTCTTGAGCTGAGGAGAACTAGAATCTGGTTTTGGTGTTATTCTACTCGGGCTTTTTATATTTTTAAAAGACATTAAGAAAGATATTCACATTTTTGACATGTTGAGCAGGCTTTAATCCCATACTGCGTGTGGAGACCCTCTGGTGCTATGACATGCCACACAAGTAAAACATCTTTGGTTTGTATTTACTCTAACAGACCATATGGAGTTGTTCTTGGATTGCACCTCTCTGCCCTCTGAACTCATTGCAACATCTAAAACTGCCATTTTCTTTTTATTCTTGCCTCCAAAAAAAGAAGAAGAAGAAGATCAAATTTGAGCCCAAATGAGTAATGTGATCTAGATCTAGAGTTCCATCACACTGAGATCACTGACATTTCTTTAAATACATATTATTTTGACTTGTGGTCAGAACAGACACTGTTGTCACAATACCATCTTGACATTTGGTCCACAAACTGCAAATGGTGCAGTGCAATAAATCACAAATCACAACTCTATCTTCTGAATAAAATAATAGTTCAGAGGCCAGTAAATAGCTAAATATGAGCTTTCCTTATGATGAGCAGAAGGCCATGAAAAATTTTACCTATCAGACTAAAAGATTCTTTCAGGCGCCGTTTTCACATTTGCCAAGAATCGGGGATATTGTAATAGATATGTCAACTATAGGCTGAACTATAAAGTGTCATGCTGGTGTTTTACTGAAAACCACAGCAGACACCTAAATCTAAACTAAACTTGACACATAGCCAAGCTCATTTCAAAGGTATGATCTTTATGATGCCATGATTACACTATTGATACAGGGAGGAAAGTATTGAGATATTATAATGTATCAAGTTTGAGTGTAGAAAAAGGCATTGCAGATTTGAAATGTTAAAAAACATTTCATTACACCATGTAAATAATATCTTAGATAAGTATAACTTGTCACACACACACACACACACACATATATATATATATGTATATTTTTTTTGTAGAAGAAAATATGATGCACATCTATATTGAAGGCTGAGTGGGACCTGAGTAGTAGGATCTGCTTCAGTGACACAAATCTAATATTATGTACTGTATGTGTACTGTATGTGAGTGATGGAAATCTAAATACTAGGAATTAGTTTGAGAATTTAATATTATGAAGCCGGGAAATATATAGAAAAAAAAATCTATGTATACTCTCAGTTGGCAGTTTATTAGGTACACCCAGTCTAATCCAACAGTCCTGTAGTAAGTCCTCCTTCCTGAAGGTGATAGTGTTGATTCAATTGTATGATTATATTGGAAGCTATAATTTGTGGTGCTGTGTAATTGTTCTGCCTTTATACTGACAGGTGGACATATAGCTGACGACGAAGAACACCTCTCTAAACCAGTTTGAACACAAACTGGGCAATGTCACCTTTATGAAGGAAGACTTATTGCAGGACTTTTGGATTACACTGTAACTAGTAAACTGGCAAGTGAGTTTATATACAATATATATGGTTATATGAATATCTATATTTGGGGACAATATTTCTTTTCAAGAATGTATAAGTCTATATTATGTTATTTTTATATCCATTGGTTGCTTTATACAGTAGCAATGCAGAATCTTACACAAAGTAGAGAAATATGATGTTTGTCAGAGTTTTTCAGTTGTGTACAAAACAAAAGAGAATGGTGCACCAAAATGGCTGTCACTGTACTGTATATCTCGCTGTCTATTACACAGAGACTCTCAGAGAATGAAACAGCAAACTAGTTTTTATAGCAACATTCATTTGGTGTGAATAGCAAATGTAATAGTTGAATTATCTGTGGGCCATTATCTTATCACACTGACCATTCATTCTTTAGGCAACAGCGATTCAGCTCCTTTTATTTCTTTTGTTTTGGCCAATCACCTGGCAGGCTTCTGCAGTCACCCATCCATCCTTTTAAATATGTTTTGGCATGAAAGAATGGTGAGAATTGTTTTCCCTACTATGGTGCTCCCTTGCAATCTGTATCACAACAGAGCACAGGAAAAAAACATATAATAATCTGATTAATAGACTGTGCTGATAGAAATGTTTTACAGCATCTTTATTTACAGTATGTATGTAATAGACAGTGCTTCATGATGCTGCTTTGAACTGGCATACTGTAAGGGGATCCACATGTTATAAATCGAAGCATGTGCAAGTTAATGCGATGAACGTTCCCTTGCCTTTTGCTCAAAAGTGGAGGTTGAGCATTGCAGTAGCTGCTAAAGGTTACTCCAGACACTGGTGACACATCCAGTTCAGTGCTGTACATTGCCAAAAACACATCATATACATTCTGACAACTGGTGCTATTTAAAAACATCTGTGGTGCTTTTTTTAAGTTTGTTATTTCTTTGTTTCAGAGAAAATGTAGCTACACGATCCTGTACTGTACTGTAAGTTGCCGTTTGACCAGTAAGTCATCATTTGACCTGGTTTGGTCATGTGTTTCAGATAGTTTTTGTTGTTTCAGGGAATACACAGATCAGATAGCCTAACATTTTGAGTGGCAAATTTTAAAGCAAAGAAATTTAATAGGAGATAAATTTGAACACTGTACATGCCATAATGATTTTCTTGAGACTGACTTTATATGTTTCTTGTTTATTTTGTTCTGGTCTTCACAGTGCTTCAGAGTCTAATGTATTGGTGACTGCAAATAGTATCCACACATCGTGTTTGGGGCTGAGTAATCAGATCTGCTCACCACTTTTGATATGGTATTTATCTTAGACATTTAAATCCCCCTGTAGTCTTTCTGTCAGGTCACATAAGCATACTAACTCCTCCCGAAGGGACCCTTGTAATTGTAGGGAGTGACATAAAGATTTCTCACCTGTAAGTCAGTTGCTGGTTGTTCTGCAGCCAAACTACTCTAACACCTGTGGAGGTTGTTTGCTGGCAGGGACCTGTATATGTTTAGAAGACCAGAGAAAGCATCTAAATATTGTCTCACAATGATGCTGTTTAAAACTTCTTCAGAGGTTTGCTGTGAGCACTCAACTTTTTGGAGCTTCTATACATAAAAGATTTTCTATTTATGTATAAGTTACATGAAGCTTTCTATGTTTTTTTCTCATTATACAATGCAATACACATGGAAGAGGAACAAAGTGTAAACACTTGTCTCATCTTAATTGTTTTGTCTTCCTGAGATGTGTAGGCCTGGTTTGAGTTACATACAGTACTTCATTTTTAATGAGTTTTTGTTATACAACCCTTTTGGAAAACAGCAAACATGTGTGTGTGTGTGTGTGTGTGTGTGTGTGTGTGTGTGTGTGTGTGTGTGTGTGTGTGTTCATTGTTGGTTACAGGCATAGACAACTCAGTACCTCAAATTGTCTCTTCTTGGAAAACCATAGTCCAGATATATAACTATTCTGTTTTTTTATGTTCACCATCTCTGAGAAATCAGTACTCACGATGCTTTTTGTATTTGTTGGCACAATCACTAACACGAATGTATGGCTGTTGTAATTCCTGTTCACCCCCACTCTTCCTACAGATTGAAGCTTTTCAAGCAACTAAATCGAACTGTCAGTTTTTTGTATTTCAGATGTCTTGGTATGCTTGTTGTAGTTGTATATTCATAATGGTGTATATTACATCGGTTTTTATTTATTAAAACGTTTAAATTTTCTAAGATGACTTTTCATGTTATTGCACAATTGGTCGTTATTTGATGTCGTTGGATTTGAAGGTGTGGGGTTATTTTCTCTGCGTTGTGTTGAAGGACCATGTCAGTGTTTCTGCAGGTATTTTCCCTGCTGTTTCAGAAAGCTATTGTCTCCTTTAATTGAAAGTCTGTACATACAAAAATTACTTTGCATGTCTTGTAGGGATAGTGTTATATCAAAAAAAGTTTGAAGTGTCAACTAATTGATTGTAATACAGAAATGGGTTGAAACGGGTGCATGGAAGGTGGGGAAAATACAAATGTCTAGGACACCACATCATGATCTGCAAAGCAGCTGTGTGAAAAATGAGTATTATATTAAATACAATAAAGCTTGTAAAACCACTGATATGGTCCTTTAAAGCAATGCCCATCAGCATTTAGATTAGTTAGTCCCCAGGGCAGTTAAGATTGCATAAATTCTTGGCTTTATGCCATCTCTTCATACATTGTCACCAAGAACTAATGACATAAGCCATTAACATCTACACTTACTGTATTTTGTGATTACTGTGAATTAGCAAATGTTAGCACATTAAACCTGCTAAACATCAGCATATTATAATTGTGAGCATGTTAATATGCTGACAAAAGCATTTAGCTTACAGTCTCTCAAAGCAGCTACTGTAACATGGCTATAAGCTCTTGTTTGTCTCTTGTTTACTGTGTTAATGGAATCAAAGGTAAAGGTTTAGCTAGAAGGAAGCCAGGCATTTCATGAATTAGTCATAAGTTGATATGGTAAACTAAAAAGCTGCACTAAAGATGAACATTAAGGAACCTTTCCTACCAGCCGTCACCATCTATACAGGAAGACACGGAAACACACGTCCTGTTAGAGCTGATTCCACTAATTTATTAAAATCAAACACCAAACATTTCAGCTTGTACTCTGTGTCCAGCAATAATTTGAATTATTTTCTTCTATATGACAGGGAGAGTGATAAATACTGTATCTAGAATTATATGCTTATGGTTCAATTTCTATATTACCCAAATAGTTAAGATGATAATTCTGAAGGCCTGCACTTCTCATGTAAGCTGTCAACGTATCAGTTTGCTGCTGTATACTAGCTGACCAGACTTGAAATGAAATGAAACTACACAAATAAATTCAAAATATTAGTCAGTAGCCATAGTGAAAATAGACAGGGAAAGAAACACATTTTCATTGTTGTTCTGTCAGATATTTAGACTGTCAGGATCGAAATATCTGCAAACATAATGTGCTGGGAGTGGCTGTGGCTCACGAGGTAGGGCAACCGTGTCCTGATCAGTAAGTTGGAGGTTCAACTCCTGGTCTCTCTGCATGCCTAAGTGTCCCTGAGCAAGACACTGAACCCCAAATTGCTCACGGTGGCTTGACTAGCGCTGCTGTGTGGCAGCCTGTCATCATTTGTGTGTATGGGGCATCTTCTCCTGTAAAGTGCTTTGGCCATTGCAACACACTGTGGAAAGATGCCCTATATAAATGCAGTCCATTTACCATATTGTTTCAAATGTTTTGTGTGGCCCAATACTTGAAGAATGAAATCAGCGATGTTTGTATTGTTGATTAGAACTATCACAGGTTGTCTGCAGTCTGTGAGAGCTCTATAGAAAATAAGCTGATTGTATTCACTTTCTGTGGCTGAAAACTCACCCCTCACCACATATTTATTCTCTTCACACATTAAACCTAAAAGTCAACAAATAAAATCAAAAATGTTCTAATAAAGATAAAACTGATCCAGTTGTGCCAGTCAACAAGGCATCACGCCCTAAGGTTTTTTTTCTTTCACTGCCAAATGTTATTCAAATGAGCTCAATGGTGTTTTTCCTGCCTCTGCATTAAAAAAATGTTTTAGCTTAAGTAAAAAAATGTGAAAATGTCAGGCTGCTCGGCCGCTGCCTCTCCATCTTCCTCACCTCTGTTCTCTCGATCCTGTGGGCTCTGCACCTCAGCTGTGTTGCATTCCAGTAATTAGCGACTGGTTTGTGATGCACACAGCTGGGGTGCATCCCGATGATTACCTTCTCCTCCTTATTTATACCTCTGGCAGACGCTCCGTCGTCGCCGGAACATTAACTATGTACCGTGTAATGTACGTGTGGTTAGAATGCTACGCTGACAGACACTGTGCGTTTTGGCTTGACTCAACCACACTACTTATGCGCTATACTAACTTACACTACACTACACTACATATTATACATAACGTGCACTACTTACCCAATGTAGTTGTCATATGTTGTGTTTAACCCGCATTTTTATACGTGTGTAAGATGCTACGCTGACAGTTCCTGTGCGGTGGATTGCATTGTGTACATTGGTCTTTTTGTTCTTTCACCTGTCCGTCTTCGTCTCCCTGCCCTCTTGGTTTTTTTACCGTCAGTCCCTGGATTCACCTGTTCTGCTTCCCTCCACCGTCTCCACTCTAGCTGGACTGTACATGTTTTTTTGGACTTTGTTATGTTCTGTTGATACTTTGTGTTCTTTTACCTGCAACCGTCATGTTTTTCCCCCTAGCACCTGGGTCTGCAAACTTGAGTCCACCCTCAGTCCTCCCTCACCCTCCTGGTGAGGGGGGCTACCATAACAGAAAATCAAATTTGCAACATTCAGCTTTGTCCAATTTGTAACAGTACAAACCATTCAAGATCATACAGTGTATATAAAAATTGTACTGGCCAAATATACAGTTTTATTGTTAAGCTTAGTTGTACCACTTGTACTAGTATTCTCATTCACCAGGCAGAAGCTCAACATTCAGTGCACAGCGAAAAGTATGTGTATGCAGTTCAGGTCAGGACTTAATTTCTTCCACATCAGATGTATATGTCAATTTGGCATGAAAAACAACTAGCTAGAGCTAAAATTTGTGTAAAAATTTGTGCATGACATCAAAGTGATGAAGAATGACAAGGCAATACTCACAATATACCAGGGCAAGGTGAACAAAAATGTATGCATCCTCAGCACAATGCACCAGATGGTGAACGTGGAAGGTGACAGCCCGAAGAAAAAGCCAGACACAGTGCACTATTATAACAAGACTGAGGTGGGAGTGGATGTCCTGGACCAAATGAGCAGACAATACTCCACTAGAGCCACCACCCGCAGATGGCCACTCGCCATCTTCATATTGGACCTGGCTGGCGTCAATGCATACATTCTTTACCGGAACTGCACAAAAGCAAATATTACTAGGCGCAACTTCCTTCTGCAGCTGTGTAAGGTATGTGACCACATGCAAATGAAAGAGGCAACTGAGACTGTGCCACTGCCCCTTCCAACAAAGGCAGAGCAGCCTCAGGAGAAGCGAAGGCAGTGTACACTGAAAATGCACCACAATAAAAACAAATTGTGCATCAAGTGCTGGGGACTTGTGTGCAGTCAGTGTACTGTCAAGGTCTTCAGTGTTGGTAGTGAGTAAGCTGTGTGGCAGTACTTGGAGCGGAATAGGCCTGTGGTTCCCAAACATTTCTGACCAAGGCTCTCTTTCTTTGTAAATATTTCTGAATTCATGTTCATTTCTCGAGAAAGCAAGGAACAATTATAATGGTAATGTTCAATGTTTATGAGCAGTGTTTATTTTTTATCTGTTTGACAGCTTTTTCATATTTTATTACATGTATTTTTCCATTGATAGTTTAACTGAAGGGAATTTATATTGTTATATTGCTAAAATAAAAGAAATCCTAGTGGGGCAAAATTCATGAAATTCTGATGTTTTATTATTTCCTCCATTTTTACATGATATTTTGCTTTCCTTTAACTTTCCTTTCCCCATATATTTTTTGGCTACAGATTAAATAGCAGTTTTATTATTTAATCAACCACATTAATTATAAACTAATTAATGTTTTTAATTTATGTACTTTTATGTATATAAAACCAAGTTTGGTCAGCTAAGTTACATGGTAGCAAACGTGATATGAGAATTCTAGGCCACCTACATTTTCCTGTGCACTATAGGCTGAACCATGAACAGGTCTCATACAGTACGTACCGCAGTGGGATGAAGGTCATCTCGATGTGAATGAGCCTGTTCTCCAAGTCTGTGGACCAGCAGCTTCTTCTCTCGCGAGATCAGGGGATTGCTTAGCAACCGATGTCAACAGCCCTATGGAGAGACATAACAGAAGTGCTGCGCTAACTGTAACCTGACGATTACCGAAGTAGCGTTAGTCGTTTAACCCTAACCCTAATCGACATAATGGAGGTAAGTAATCTTCCAAGGAGTTTGGTCCCAAATGTTTTACATGGCAGCTTAACGCTGATATTAATTGAGCATTATACATTTAACCCCGGTCAAAATGTAACACGTTATTGTTAGCAAAATATGTTTAAAATTGCTGAAATACGGCAAATCTGGTGTGTTAGCATGTTCGCTATAATTAATTTCACTACTTTGCTATGTGTACTAACTTTACTAACTTTGTGTAAAATCAACATGAGATTAAACGTTACACAAGTTACGTCATTTCAGGTGTGAGGTTTCAACGCTAACGTTATTTATCTTTGAAATGGGTGCCCTATTGCACAGGTCCTGTTCAGCTAGTTCATCACTCCCATACTCATTTTCACTTAGTCTTGGCCCTGCTGTGTTTCCAGGACATGGGACCAGCAGGAGATGACTCTTTTCAGTCTTTGGAGGAGTTCCAGATGGTCCTCAATGAGCTGGTTGGGGATGAGAGCATGGACAAGATCCGGCTTGAGTATGAAAGGCTTATCCATTCTCTGAAGAAGTCCAGAGAGAATGAGAAGAGGCTAATGTCCAAATGCAGGGAGCTGAATGCAGAGATTGTGTCCACCTCAACTAAAGTCACAGCTGCCCTGAAACTGTCCCAAGAAGATGAGACAACAATAGCTTCACTAAAAAGGGTAACACTGCCAGAACACAAGATGCTACATTATAGCTGCTCT